AATCTTTTATCGTCCATAAAGTGATATTGTGGCATGAGGAACTTAAAATGTTAAGGCAGTGGACTGTTAATCACCTGGGAATATCCAGAGCATTTTTTCCAAAGGAGGGCACTCTGCAACGACCTAGTGTGCACTCAGTAGTCTGAGAGGTGAAAAAAAGTCCACTCAACCACAATATAGCATGGGGATTCAAAGAGAGCAAGAGAAGGCCACCAACTTTAACTTTTCGAATCCCTCCCGCAAAATAAATGGAGAAAAAGTCAGCAAATGTGGAGTTTAGACCTGGAATATAAATATAGGTGAACTATGTTGAAATACCCAGGTAATTGCAAGAAGGTGGTCAGTTTTAAGAAAAGCCAGTAGAATAAAAAAGAGCTGAGATGATTTTCACTCTTTTTGTTTGTTTCTATTATGCTATCACAAAGGGCTTTTCAATATCACAACATATTATGAGGATGGAGTTAGTACTATTAGCATTTCATAAACTATTTCAAAATCCAGAAATTCATGGATAGCTAGAAGCTAATTAAGTGGCACAGCAGTAATTTAAATTTATGTTTGCAGATTCGAACCTTCAACTCTTTCTATAAATATTTTCATAGAAACCCCTGTGAAGTGGACACCTGGACACTGGTGGCTCTCAGATATGAATAGTCTCATAGTTGTTGTTTTGGTTTTTGATTTTTAAATTCACATTGGTAGATCACATTAGTACGTCTCAAAGTTTTATTCGTAAATAGATTCCCTATTAAGGGATTAAATTAATGAATTCATTCATTATGGACCAGTGACCTTTGTGACCCTACTTTATTAGTCATTACAATTAGACACACGCAAAAAAATCACTTGGCTTAGTGGGTGAATTAAATGAGCTTGCTGGATTTTAGGTTATTGTTCTAGTAGTGATAGCCAAGTTTTTAGAGGTAGATCTCAGAAGCAGAAAGGGAAGAGTAAGGTTTTCCTCTCTGAAGGACCCCAGAAGGTACGATTTTGCTAAAGGTCATGATTAATAGAGGATCAGCAGTGTGAAGATATTCACTAGCAGGAGCTGTCCAGTGAGAGGATGTGCCTGCTCTTTCTGGTCCTTCTCCTTTGGATCCCTGCCCTTTCTAACCTCCACAAGCAGAATGGAAAGAACACTGACTTCTCAGTGAGAGCCGGCTCCAATCCTGGCTCACCTTGAGCCCCAGTGTCCTGCATGCAGAAGATCTAGGTGGATTTAGGGAAGTTTTTGCTAACTCCCTTCACCAGCTTACATCCTGTTGCTGTGACCTCACAGAACCCTCATTCCCTTGTGATGGCAAACGTGGGCGGGGACTATCCCCTGCTGTGTATCCCTAACACTGAGCACTACAGTGGGGACAAAGTAGTATTCAAAATAAAACTTGACTACATGAATTCACATGACCCAATCAGGTTATGGAGATGTAACATGAAGTAGGAAAAAAGTTGGCCCTGTAGTGAACTAAACTGAAAAACACAGGCCTACCTAAAGGACATTGAAATCCAGATTTTTAAATATCACTAAATAGTGGTAAAATCACATTTATCTAAGCTAGAGGTGTTGAACTCAATCAGAGAAGGGGCCAAAATCTAAAATCCAGCCTAAATCGCGGGCCGAATGGTTTACTGAACAGTCATAAACTGTCATTGTGATGGAAACGCAGCGGAGTGCAGTGATGACAGCGCGGTGCGGGCCACATTGCAAGGCCTGGCAGGACGGATTTGGCCCGCGGGCCTTGTGTTTGACACATGTGATTCTAAGCATTCAGCCTGCTGCATCAAATTTATTTTAGATTTAATTAAGAAAAAGTATGCCTTTTAGTTCCATTGAGTGTATAATTACCAATCATTTTTTAAAAATGTATGGGGTAACAGAGGAATGATAGATAAGAAAATTCAGCAGACAAAATCTTGTGTTCTTATATCTCCCTTGAAGATTGTGATCCTAATCCAGTACTGGGATTATGAATGAAATATATATCTTCAGAATTATCTCATCTGAGACATTTTGAATTTCATAGAGAATGAATCAGAAACTCACCAAAATTATACAAATTATTCAGGAGTCATTTGTTCTAAACTTAGAACATTATTAAACATCCCTTAATAATACTCCACTGCTGCTGAAACTGGTTTGGCTCAGTGGATAGAGCATCAGGCTGTGGACTGAAAGGTCCCAGGTTTGTTTCTGGTCAAGGGCATGTACTTCGGTTGCGGGCACATCCCTAGTAGGGGGTGTGCAAGAGGCAGCTGATCGATGATTCTCTCTCATCGATGTTTCTAACTCTCTATTCCTCTCTCTTCCTCTCTGTGGAAAATCAATAAAATATATTTTTAAATAAATAAGTAAAAAATAAAAAATAATGCTTCACTGCTCCTATTTTATTATGATTATTATTATCTATTTACATTCCCCCAGTCATGTCTAGTATATATTCATAAATAGTTTTATTAACAGTTGCCCAGAAGAAAATCAAATATCCTGATGCTTAGAGAGGGAGAGTTTCCCAAATATCATCATGCATAGTAGCCAAGGGAAATTTTACCAAGTGGCTATTTCTTAGGTAGTTAAAATGACAGTTAACAACCCAGAGCATAACAGAGAAAGAGATACCTGAAATAAGAAGGGGTGTAGGATCAACATTTTTATCAGCCTTATCTCCTTGAACTTGGAAAGTCCCAATCATCTCCCGCCAAGCTTTGGATCCTAATGATCAAGGTGTGAATTCCACCTCTGCCATTTAGGACTTTAGGCAATTTGGTGAATAACTTCGCTTACAACCTAGAAAAAAATTTCTTTCCAAAGGATTGTTTTGAGCATTCAGTGAGACTTTCTGCAAAGGACTGATACACAGTAGGCAACTTTAAATATTCCTTTCCTCTGTCGGGCCATCAAACCCATCATTAAGGCTATTACCTTGGCTTTTCTTGACCAGGTGTTTCAACATTTATTGGGCTTAATTTCCAAATCTTATAAACTTTTAAAATTATTCTTAATAATATATTTGTTTAACATTTCCACTCGGCAAAATATTACCATAAACCAAACATAGAGAATGTCTGATCAGTGGGCAGAGATTAATTGCTCAATTATTATGTTTCCACATGTTTTATAGTCTCTATTTCTCAAAAGAGTTCAGATTTGAATTTATAATGCAGGGTCATTAAACCACATTTGAAAGCTAATTGATAATATATAATCTCGGCAACATTCTTTTTGCCTTCTGCATAATTAATGAAGCTCAGAGCATTATATCTTCCAATTAAGTGTTTGGTTATATCCCTTGCTTCCATGTATCATCAGTTCCTATCATTGGCCATTTTTCTTTTGTAATTTCAAAAATTTTACTGGAAATTGGTATATCCTGATTTTCCACCAAAATAAATATAACCTGCTATTAACTATAATGTGTTGTGGCTAGGTTTTATTATCTGTAGCTATTGGGCCTTTTAAAAATAAGACACACAATTGTCCCTTCTTTAAAAAGCATTATAAATCCCTCAATCTTGCTGTCAGTATTCATCCTTTACTTTTAGTGTGGCCAATAAGAAATCACCCATGCTGAAACCGGTTTGGCTCAGTGGATAGAGCTTCGGTCTACGGACTGAAAGGTCCCAGGTTCTATTCCAGTCAAGGGCATGTACCTTGGTTGCAGGCACATCCTCAGTTGGGGGTGTGTAAGAGGCAGCTGATTGATGATTCTCTCGCATCAATGTTTCTATCTCTCTCTCTTCCTCTCTGTAAAAAATCAATAAAAATATGTATATTTTTAAAAATCATCCAAGAGAGAAAAAGGTCATCCTATCTGCACAGCTGCCTTAATTCTACTCCCTGGGCCCAGAATTCAACTCAGTACAGCCACTTCTTGACTGACTCTCTTCTTGAATCCTGCCTCCTTCCTTTCCCTTTCAAGTCCATCCTCACCTCTCACCCACTCACCACCCCATCACCCACAGTCTGCCCAGCTGTCTTTTTCAAGTTTCTTATTATTCTGAGTTCTATTTCATTTTGACAAGTCACAGGTTGCCTGCATTTATATTGTTCAAAATTATTTTTTTTACCTTATTTATATCGACCCTACAAATTTAAGATGGACATCTTGTAGGTGTGGGAATTAAGCATCCATTAAATGAAGTTATACAAAAATGTTTCTGGTAAATGCTTAATAAATATTGCCTACTGTTTTTAGTTTTAGTGTTATCATGAATTTATCTGTAATTAGGCTAATAGCATGAGCACTGAAATTTAGTAATTAATCCTCTAATATATTTTATATCTAGTACAGCTTAATATTTTATTAATTAGTTTCAAGACTATAAATTATTTAAAGGGTATCATGCCTTCAATGTCTCTGTGTCTCCTAAGTAGAAATAGTGAAAATTGTACTAGCAATAGTCTATTATATCATGACATCATTATAGCAATCTTCTGGGGTTAGATTACCATACCATTTGATAGATTAAGAAGCTGAAATTCACATAGCTTATAATGGCAGAACCACAATTCAACTTTAGATAATGTAACCACCAAGCCAGTTCTCTTAACCACTATGACAGTACAAAGTTGACCCAGGAACAACAAGGGGTTAGGGACACCAACCCTTGCAGTTGAAAATCCATGTCTAACTTTGGATTCCTCCAAAACTTAACTTGTCTCTTAGTATCTATGGGGGATTTGTTCCAGGACCTCCTGCAGATACCTAAATGGAAAGATGCTCAAGTTTCTTGTAAAATAACACACACATCAATGCATGCAGTTGACCTTCCATATCTACAGAATCTCAACCTCAGATTGAAAACAGTGTTGGAATTGATTGGGGCGGGGGGGGGGGGGGGGGGGGGGGGGGATCCATATATAAGAGGGCCCATACATTTAGAACCCATGTTGTTCAAGGGACAACTATACTACCTAAACTCTGTATCGTAATGCCCTTCTATAATAAGCATCTAAAAGGCTTATTGTCTTGATTGTCTCATTTGATTCTTCTCTCTTGCAGATGGACCCCCATGAGAACATCTTGCTGAGCACTCTTGAGATAAAAAACGAAATGGCCACATCGGAGGCTGTGATGGGACTTGGAGACCCCAGGAGTTCGATGCTGGCTTACGATGCGTCCAACCTCCAGTATCGGAAAGCCGGGCTGCCCAGGCATACCTTTGGCCGAAATGCCCTGGAACGACACGTGGCACAGAAGAAAAGCCGCCTGCGGAGACGCGCCTCCCAACTGAAAATCACCATCCCCGACTTGACTGATGTGAATGCCATAGACCGGTGGTCCCGCATATTCTTCCCAGTGGTTTTTTCCTTCTTCAACATTGTCTATTGGCTTTACTATGTGAACTAAAGCAGAGCCTCCCTCGGGAAGCAAGGACTAGATGCCTCCTCAAACTAGTTGTACAGTCTGACGTAGGACTTGGAAAACACATCAATCCAGGACAAAAGTGATGCTAAAATACCTTAGTTGCTGGCCTATCCTGTGGTCCATTTCATACCATTTGGGTTGCTTCTGCTAAGTAATGAGTACACGAAGGGCCTTGTGATTTTTCCAGTTAAAATGCAAGTCATTTGTACACATGCTGGCAAGACTGAGTCTGAGTGTTCCACTTCATCTGCTTATTGTGCAGCTGACACGGAGGGGAATTATGTAGAAGATATTCTTAGAAGGCTTGATAGCACTATCAGTCATTTCTCTGAAAAGTCATATCCAGGTATTCCGATCTTCCTTGCGAAGGGTGGCATGCTGCTGAGATGGCACCATGCTTAGGAAAGATTATCCTCAATGCCATGCGAACAGGCTTACGGAAGATGGTCTCTGCCCATCTTATTAAGGCGATAATGGTGTCCTGGGATGAAAATTCCCACTGGATTCTAGAAGGTTCTCACGTAGTTCAAAAAAGATGGGGGCAGTCAAGAGAGAGATTCAGGAAACCAAGTTGGCCAGTTTCAGATTGCTTGAGCACTGGGAATCAACTATGACGTCTTCCATTTTGGCATGTAGACCCCAGGAAAATTCTAAACATTATCATGCATGATGACCAAAGAAACTTTTCTAAAACTCTATTTCCTAGGTGGTTAAAAGAAGAGTTAAAAACCCAGAGCAGAGTGGGAAATTCAGAAATGACTGTTGGAACAAAATTGAAACAAGCATCATGACCCTTATCAGCCCACACAGCATCTGGTCTATTCGTTTATGGTCAGTGGCAAAGGTAGAATGAGAGATTTTTTTGTTTTGTTCCAACTTCACAAGCTTTGGACAGCATGCCTATAGAGGCTTATATAATTTATTTAATTAAAAGACACCCACTAAAGAGAAAAGTTAGCCAAATTAGCATCACCTTAGATCCATGTTAGACTGAGAGTTATCAAATATATGAATATAAAACACAAACAGGTTGCTATTCTCACACAACGTCAGCTGTCTCTGCAACATTTTTCCTTATAAGTTCATTTCTGACTTTAACAGGGTATTTCCAAAGAGGGATTTGTTCACTTCTTTAAAGAATTAATGTTCCTTTCCAGCTTTTCTTGCTTCTGAAATTCTGATTAAATTCTTAGAAGACAGAAAACAAATGTAAGGCTTTGGAGAGATTTAGTGAACTCCATTTCCTTATGTGCAATGAAATTCACCTTGCTATTTTTCATAGTAAACAATACTTCAAAGATTATGTGCACAAATAGAGTTAGATTGTGGGTATATTAGGTTTTATTTTTTAAGATTGCTTTCATTGTGTATGTTGCAATCTCCCCAATCAAGGAAAATATGATAAGAGTGGAAAATAGGATAACAAAGCCACATTAACCTGATGAAGGATATGGACCTCAGTTGATACTTCAGAAAAATGTCTAACTGAAATCAGGTAGGCATGATGTATTGTTTTATTCCAGTTTTAAATTATCATTATACTTCATTCTATACTAATTGGATATATGAATTTATATGTTGGACAGTAAGAAAATAGTGAACTGCTTAATTTTCCTTACAGTTTCATTTTATTGAACTTTATCTTGGTGCATGACTTTGCTATGTCTATTTAAAAAACAAAGACACTTCTTTTCAGAGTAACATTTCCTAATTTTGCATAATAGCTAAGACCATTACCTGTCTGTGTTTAAATATTATGCTTTTTCCCCCTGATGATTTATTTAGCTGCTTGGAATAGGGTAGGTCCTATTGTCCTTCTATTCCAAGTATCTTAGTACTTAGCCTTCTGAATTTAGCTTCAGATTGGATGGTATTTTTCTCCCCACCTGTATCAGGGACTGTGGCCCTTATTTCTTGATTATACACTTGAACACCTCTGAGTATGACCTGTGGGCAGAATCCAACCAAGGTTCTGTCCATGGGCTCAGAGTAGAGATTCTTCAAGTTTCTCCAGGGACACACTTCCACCTAGACGGCAATCTGGGGGCACCACACTAATAAAAGTGCCTGCCCCTTGTCACCAGGGGTTCGTCTGAATAGCATATACCAGGAAGGAGTATATTTATAACTCAGGTGCACAACTCCAAAATGCCATTCTGGAATGGTTTTTCTAGAGACAACCCTGAGCCCAAGTCAAGAAGTGGGCTCTTATTTGTAATTATTGTAAAAGCCATAAACATCCTTGGTATTGTCACATAACAAATATTTGATATCCAAGGAAGTCAACAGAGTAATCGAGATTGGAGTGGAGAGAAGCAACCTCAAAGCATGAGAGTCAAAACCATATAACCAGGGATTCATTTCTACCCCCAGTGATAAGCAGAAACTGGAAAAGGAGAAAGGATGGAACCTGGAACAGATGCCCTAGAACAGAACCCATATGTTGGCATTCAATAACCACATAGTTAGAAACAACTGACTCATCTTGCCCAGAGGTAACAAATGGTAGATATAGAATTTATTCTTTAACTATATGTTTACTGTGGTTGAATTGGTTTGAGAGGAGGGGGTCGGGGAAGGGTGTTAGATCTTATAAGGCCAGAAAGACCAGTCAGCTTGATATTCAGTGGTTAAAATTAGGGACCACAAAAGTGTGTTTTGGCAATTCTGATATGCTATTACTATCAGCTTATACATTTATGTACAGTTTTTTTTAAATTATAAAACAGCCAGATAGCCAGCGATTAAGGTGTTTTTTCATCTTTCTGACATTCATAGGCGAATTCTGACTCTAAAATTCACAGTCAAAATGAAATCTTTGATCTCAATCTGTATATATATATACATATTGTACATGACTGCTAGTAGGTATGAAATGCATTTTCAGAACTGAAAACTCATGCAACAACATCATGTGTTTGCATAGGGAATGTTACAGGTCTTTCCACTACAGTTTACTCTAAAGGGAAAGACATAAGATAAGCAGTGCCATGTAGACTTTTCCTCTTCTCATTTCTTCAAAAGCAGTGCTCGGTTAAAAAAAATAATAATAATTAAACAAATAAGTAAATAAATAAATAATGGTTTATAAACCAAAAGACTTTACATTGTAGCTTTAGTAACAAAAAAAAAAAGAAATATCTGTCAGCTTAAAAAAGCACAACACATAGAGAAAGTTCAGTAGAAAGCATAAAGGAGAAATGAATCATACTCATTTTAAGCCAGACCTGCATTTAATTGGCAACTCACCCAATTTTCATTTTCTATAGATAACTGTGTTCCAGTCTTATGATTAACTTCATATTCAACAACAGAAACAACCAAGCAATCAACAAACAACAGGTCATACAACAATATACATGTATATAAGTGTATATAGAGATCCATATAAACATACATGCATAAAAATATGCATTCATACATTGGAAAACAAAAGGAATAAGCTAATATCTTTTATTTCCTTCATTCAACCAGTGTATGAGTGCTTTTTACTTGGCAACACAAATCCACATATTTAAACAAGTGATACAGGGTACTGAGCGTTTCTCTATCAGCAAATAATGCCTACTGTTCTTAGGAACCATTGCACAATCCGACACTACAATAGTGCTGTACCTCAGAACATCAGAAACTCACTAGTTCTTGCATTGCTTGTCTACTTGCTCTTTTTCAAGGAAACAAATCACATTGTCCATTGGTCATTTAAAAACAAAAATGTCTTAAGGAAACAGAAAATGATTTTTAAAAATCCTTCCAGGAGGAGGAAAAAAAATAACTAAACCTCACCATGTTGGTAGGGCAAATATCTCAACTGTAGCAATCATGCCATTTTGCTAAGTGTACAGAGTCTATGTAATGTGAGCAACCATAACTTTCACTGAGTGTAAATATTAAAATGGATTTCTTAAATATTTTTAACTTCTTATTTGTATTTTATGGTAAGGCAGTGTGCAAATTCTGTTCATGGCTTCTGTTGATGTGTTATAATAGACTGTAAATAATTAAATATGCTGTAAATGAATAGTCTATAGATACAAATACTTCATTTTTTTCTCATTTTTTTATTTCTTTTTTACTAAGTACAGTTACTGCAGAGCCCCAACAGAGTAATTGAAACATTCTTTTTGCGTAAATGGTTTGGGATCCCAGATAGAAGGGTTTCAGTTTAATAACACACACACACTTAATACACTCACAAACATCTACACATACGTGCTCACTTACAAACACCTACACACACTCACTCATAGACTCATACATATTTACACATACACGCTCTCAGTCACACACATCTACATACACACACCTGCTCACACACACATGCATCTACACACACATACACACACATTCAAACACAACATTCTTTCCTTTGCCCACTCACTCCCATTCTTCCTCCCTCTATAAACACACAGTATTCATGTAGTGAATGTAACAAACCAAGAGATAGCCTTAGAAATGGCAATTGGGAAAAGCAGAAATCATCATTATTTACTTGAAAGGGTTTTTATGTGTCAGAATTCAAGAAACCAAAGGTTGTAACTTACATGTCAATTTTCAAAGAGTAAAAGTTTATATTGACAGCACTACAGGAAATAAAATTGCTTATGATGCATACCTGCTCCAGAAATTTGTTACATCCTAGGAGACCTTTTTTTTATATATATATATATAATAGCTTTTTGTCCTTAGGTAGTATTCTTTCTTTCAACCAAAGACTCCAGAATTATTAAAAAACAAAAAAAGGAAAGAAAAAGTGAAAAATGAGGGAAAACAAAAAAAAGACACTGCTTTACACCAAAGGTATGAACACGATTTTCCAAGTACACTAGGAACATTGTCAAAAATAGTAAAGATCCAGAATAATGCTAATTAAGATACTACCCTAAAGAAATCATTTAAGAAAAAAACAAAACAAAACATAAAAGCAGCAGTACTCTTAAATATCTGTTGTTATTTGGATAGGGAAATAAAACATTTCTACAGAAGTTTGCAAAATTGTGACATCAGATATTAATTTGCTTCAAGTTTTTTTGCGACAACTATGACCCAAAATGAAAAACAAAACTTTGTGTTTTTTAACTTTCAAAAGCAAATGTCTCTCTCCTGTCTCATTGTCCACTAAGCTGATGCCCATGTGTGTGTCCTTGCACTGTTTTTCCCTTTGAGGTTCAGTAATTTGTTTTCAACCACACTCCTTTTTAACATAATTCAAAGTTGCGAATAATTTAAATTCCATAACATTTTTATTATTATTTGCATGGGTGTTTAAATAGTTTTGTTATGAATATTGTCCCTGCACAGTTCTGAATTGTCCTTTTATAAAAAGTGACATTCTAGTTCCTTCACAGTGTAGTGACTATCCGCCTTACTATTTACCTTGTAGCCTTTTTTAATATGCACATAATGCAGATTTTCCAATGGCTAGGAAGTGCAAAACACAAGTGGATATCATTGCATCTATTTTTCATGTCTTTCTAAAAACAGGACTACTAAAATCTCTGGGATACATGAGATAGTAACAAATGAGGATTATAAATGAGTAGCACATAAGAATTATTTTCTTGAATTTAAACTAATTACAGTCAGTTTCAGCATGTAAATATATAATAATGTTGGCTAGTGTGTAATTCTTGAATTAAGAAATATAAATAAAACTTGAAAGGATGCGTGTGTGTGGTTTCATTGGGCTCAGAAACTCTTTTCTCTATTAATAAAAGTTAGGTTGTAGAAGGAAGGCTTTTGTGAAGAGCAAGGAGAAGCCTGGGAATGCGGGACCAGCTGTTGTGCAGATTTGAGTTTGCGCTCTGATTTATCATATATTAGGTAAACTAGAGGCCTGATGCACAGAATTCGTGCAAGAGTAGGCCTTCCTTCCCCGGCCTCCGGCACCGGCTTCCCTCTGGCACCCAGGACCCAGACTTCCCTCCCGCCATCAGCAGCAGCCCCAGCTTTGTCCAGAAGGTTGTTCAGAAGGACAAACGATCTAATTAGCATATTACACTTTTATTATTATAGATGACTGTGCAGCTACTTAATCTCAGTTTTCTTATCTACAATATTAAGCAAAGGTATAATTGTACATTCTTCAAAGGGCTGTTGTGAAGATGAAATGAAATAATCTGTAAGGAGTTCTTAACACAGTACAAGACATGTGATAAGTGGTGTATAAACAGTAAGTAGTAGTATTGTTCCTCTTGTTAAGTATCATCATAAAATCTTATTATGATCGTCATTATTAAATGTTCTGGTAGGTTAGATATTTTATATTAAGGATAATTAAGAACTTGGCTTCAATTACAAAAACATGGTAAACATAAGGTGCTCATTCATTTAACATTCAACAGATATCTGCTGAAGATATTATGCTAAGTACCTTGCAAATTTAATATTCATCTAATCCTTTCCATCTTCCTAAAACTTGAAGCCACTCAAGATCAGAATGAATAAGAATCTTGCCCACGAGCATGAAAGAACTTGGATTTCTATACAGGCTGGAGTGGCCCCCAAATCCTTGCAATTTCTTTCCACCTCATCATTGAAAGTAAGTGACCAGGCTTGTTTCATTCTCATTATTTTGGTCATTTCTCCAGAAGCATGTGCTGAGACCCCACCACCTGCCAAATCTCATGCTGGGTTTGGAAAGACAGAGCCTAACCTGGATTATAGGGCAGCTCTCTAACACATGGGAACTCTCCTGAGACTGGTGACCCTGTTGGTGACAAGCATGATACCGTTCACTCTTAGTGACTTTAGAATGTCCAAGAAGCGCCCCATTTGACTCTGTTAGCTTGAACGAGGTGATCTGTCAGGATAAAATTGCCCAATAAAATCAGGATTTGCAGGAGATATCACTGCAAAGGGCTGACCACTGAGAAGACTCGCATGTAGGAAGAGTCCCAACCAGGTTCTTCTCAATCTTACGATGTAAATAGCAAACTGTATAATCTAAAAGTGTCAAGTACATATACATTTGACATCCCTCCTGCTACGTTGTCAACATATCTATCCAACAGAGAGAACAAATATGCTCAAACACCTGAGCGTGTGACTATGAGCCTATGTGGGGGGGGGGGGGGGGGGGGTGGATGGTGCGAGGTCTGTTGCTTACCTTGGGAAGAGAATATTCCTAGATGTTTTCCCCAACACAAGAAAATTCCCCCACTCATATTCTAACTACTATAATTTCCTAAAGTAGAACTTTCCATATCTTGCTCTCCTCTGAAATTTGTTTGAATTCTGAAATAATGTGATATTTTTCTGCTGAATATTTTGCTAAGCCACAAAATCCACCTCTCAGGATAATACCAGATTAGTGGAGAAAGTTCTCAGGAATGACAATAGGCACAATTAGTCTGTAATCCTTGAGTTTTTAAAGCAAACAGTAGCAAAATAATGTAAACCCATTTTTGTCCCTAAATGTATGGTGTCAGAGCAATAGCCAATATGCAAGCTCTCTGCCACCCTACCCACCATGACGTCACTCCTCATGTCATCTTAAATCAAAGAATAATTTGGAGTGACAAGTTTCAGGCAAGCCCTAGAATGACTAGGCTTCTTTGAACCAAGCCTGACTGAAAAAAATGAAAGGATTTCTTTCATCTAGTGTTCTTTACATGTTTAAAAACACACTTGGAGGGATCGAAGACTCACTTGAGGTTGGCAACCTTTCAGAAGTGGCTTGCCAAATCTTTATTTATTCATTCTATTTTCTATTCCACTTGCCAGGAATTCATTTAGAAGTCCCCTCCTCCCTCCCTCTCTCTCCCTCCCTCTCTCTCTCTCTCTCTCTCTCTCTCTCTCTCTCTCTCTCTCCTTGATGTATACAAAGTACATCATGATTAATAAATAAAAACTTTTTAACTTTTAAAAGCCTTCATCTAAAATTAAATTACAGGAATCTTGCCAGTTTGAAGTAAGCTTTTCCCATTTCAACGTTGGCAGATATTAAGGATGCTGGCTCCTGGCTCTGGTTCTTGTTCCAGGAGAAGTCTCAAAGTACTTGGGATGGCCCCATTGGGAGCCCTGGTTTGGAGGGGATAGAAAAAAACAAATGCTCAGTGAGCTTCCCAAGCCCACACAGCATATGCAGAGCCCGGATGGGGCCTCCTGCTTCCAATCTCCTCTTCCCAGCTGTATTAGTCTGTATTCTCCAGAAAAACAGAGCCAATAGGATGTGTATAGGGTAAGTATAGAGAGAATTGAAGGATTTTGTTCATGCAACTTTGGAGGCTAGCATGTCCAAAATCTTCTGAGTGGACCAGCAGGCTGAAGACCAGAAAAGATATTGTGGTTCAAGTCCAAAGGTTATCTGTTGGCCAAATCCCTTCTTGCTCAAAGTGGGTAAGCCTTTTGTTCTAGTCAGGCCTTCACTTGATTGGATGAGGCCCAATATGGAGGGCAATCTGCCTTATTCACAGTTCATTGATTTAAATGTTAATCTCATCCAAAAACAGCCTTCTGGAAACATCTAGAATAATATTTGATTAAATATCTGGGCATCACAGTCCAACCAAGTTGACATATAAAACTAACCAGCACCACAAGTCCCTGTCCAGAAATCTAATCATGTCATATCCCTTTATGAAACCTTCCAAGTTTCTACTTTGACTAGGGAAAGCCTAAGTTGATCATGATACTCAAGGTCCTTTGTGATCTGTTTCTTGTTCATTTTTAATATCAAAACCCTGTTTCCTTTCATCCTGCTCTTGAATCCCAGGCTCCCACCAGGTTGAATTACTTTCAATTCCATTGGGATACTGCTTGCTCCTTTGCCTCTAGCTTTTGCTCTTACTGTTCCTTCCTAAGACACTTTTCTTCATCCTCCAAAACTCACTCCCTTACTAATTCCTATTCATACTTTCCAGGTAAAAGCTTAGACATCACTTCATTTGGAAGAGTTCTAACTCCAAAAATTGATGATTAATTCCCAGCAGTCAGCACCCTGCTTAGCATGGCATCTGCTTAGTAACTCTTTGTTACATAACTGAATAAAGTCTACGTGTTCTGCAGAACCAAGAATAATCCTGAGTATGAGTAAGTGTAGTGTCAGATGACAGCCTAAGCTATTTAATAATGGGTATTTTTGCTCATGAAACCAACGTTCTTAGCATTCTCTGGGTTTTGCTCCCATTTCTCAGGGTCCTTTGCTGATTTCTCATCTGCTTGACAACCTCTTCACCCTGGAGTGCCTCTAATTTATATCTTCATTCCACATTCCTTTCCTAAACTCCAGTCATTTTCTTGACATTATATTTTGGAAAGCAAATGGATATCACAAACTCAAAAGGTTCATAATTGATCTTTCCCCCAAAGTGGGTGGCAACTTCAGTTATTCTGGCAAGAAAAACCCTATAGTTATTTTTTTACTCTTCTTTTCCTCTCACCTAGCATCTAATTCATCAGAAAAGCATGGTGGCTGTAACTTCAAAATATATCTTGACTCCTTCTCACCGTCTTTCTTGCAATACCCTTGTCTGAGCCACCACAGGCTTCACCTAACCTGTGGTCGGCAAACTCATTAGTCAACAGAGCCAAATATCAACTGTACAACGATTGAAATTTCTTTTGAGAGCCAAATTTTTTAAACTTAAACTTCTTCTAACGCCACTTCTTCAAAATAGACTCACCCAGGCCGTGGTCTTTTGTGGAAGAGTCACACTCAAGGGGCCAAAGAGCCGCATGTGGCTCACGAGCCACAGTTGGCTGACCATGGACCTAGACTATTCTGAGAACCTGGTCTTCTTGATGCCACCATATAAACTGTTCCCTACACTGCAGCTAGACTGATCTTTTTAAAAGGTAAGTCAGATCGTGGAATTGCTCTGACTAACTCCCTAACTGGTGGCACCTTAGCCTTTGGGAGATTGGACAAGTGAATGCTTACTCTCATTTGTAATACTTTTACTATTAAGAGAATTGCTAAGTCAAATTATATGGAACATTTTGAGGTCTGAATGCACAGCATCACTTTGTGCTCGTCATCAGTAAACAAGAGTACCTGGTTTTCCAATTCTCTCTAACATTGTTATAATTTTGTCTCATGTTAAAACATTTCCCAATTTATTAGCCATGAAAAACAGCCATTTCATTTGGTTTGTATTTGATTATTAGTGAGATCTGTGCTTACCGGTCACTGTCTAGAAATGGCAAGACTGAAAATAGATGCAGTTCTAGGCTGTCTGGTTAAACAAAGTTGAACTCAATGAAATGACAAGCAGCTTACAATGGGACCAGTATTCCTGAATAATCTTTCCTGGAGGATGTAAGAAAATGTTTATTATTTCCAATTACCTTTGATTTAGTCCTTTGCTTTTCTTCTCCTACTAATGAATGACCAAGAACACAGATGAATATCTTTGTCAATGATATTGTTTTTTGTCAAATCATTGTTCTTTTACCAATGATTATTTATTATGCATATATTATATATATATGGCTAATATGCTAAGTGACCCTCCACTCATTCAACCGGCTTCTATGATGTGCACTAACCACCAGGGGATAGACGCTCAACTTAGGAGCTGCTGAGCTGCAGTGACTTGGGAGCAGTGGTTCTCAGGTGACACACCCCAAAACCAGAGAGGAGGGAGCCTGATTCCTCACTGGGCTAGGCGATTCCACCTTCGGCTTGGGTTATGTTGCTCCTGTGACTCTGTCAGTCCCAAAT